TTAGAGTGCATCCAAACATATTTAGAGTGCATCCAAACACGTTTAAAGTGCGTCCAAACACGTTTAGAGTGCATCGAAACATACTTAGAGTGCAGCCAAACATGTATAGAGTGCATTGAAACACGTTTAGAGTGCGTCGAAACATAATAAGTGATGAAGACATCGGGAAGCACGGGAGAGACGACAAGAGAACGGGAGCAGGAGATTCTCAAGCGGATCGAAAGGAGCTCTTGGAACAGAAATTGAAGAGTGACGGTCCCATAACTCGCGCCAAGGCAAAGAGGTTGAAGGAAACATTTACAATGCTACTTCAAGAAGAGTTTGGGCTTCAAAATCAAGTGGAATCAGCCCAAACTCAAGCCCATCCCTTGGTTAACATACTTGAGGCCCAAATCAGCCCAAATGAAGCAAAATGAGCCCAAAAGAGTGCTTGGAAAACATGGAAGAAGAGGAGCTACGAATTCTGGTCTTTGTGCAATAAATGTGGTCATTTTTTGACTACATTGGAACTATAATTGCCTTGTTTTTAGTCTTCTTTATTTTCAGCAAACTCTTTTATTTTTCTTAGTTTTTCAATGTTTCCTTTCATTATAAAAAGGGAGTATCTATCATGTAAAATTCAGATTATTGAATTGAGAGGTTTCTTCTTATGTTCTTGAGTACTAACTCTAAACTTCGTAAGGTTTGAGGTAGTGTTCTTTTGACTTATCAAACACTTTTACCACCAGGTGTTTGTGGCGTCTTCGCTCGCTTCAAAGGTTCTCTAACCGGGTCTGGATTGGGTTTAGGGCGTTCTTGTGACTGGAACAAGTCCTAGGTTCGGTTCACGTGTCGTTAGTGGGTTTTTGAACATCCATCTACTATCCTTCTTACCTAATTCTGAGATTCGTCGATCCGGGTTCGTATCACCCTCTTTTCTATACAAATCTAGCATTTAGGCCACATTTTGTGCACAAATACCGTTTTCTTTGCTCTTTGATATAATTTCAGGAATATTCGCGTAATCGGACGAAAATGGAGCTAAAACGGTGTTTTTGGAGCTTAATTTGACCAAGTGGACGATCACAGACGAGCTAAGGAAGGTGACGGACATGTCGCGGACGAGAAACAGACTTCAGAGCGGAACAACAAGAATCTCGATGTTGAGAACATCGATATCGATGTTTTATAACATCGATATCGACATTCCTCAACATCGATATCAATGTTTTCAACCACCTCGAGATCAGACTTTCAGATTTCCCGATCTAGACGTTCCTGAATATCGATATCGATGTTACATACCTCGAGATCTAAGTAGCCCAGATATCGACCTTTCATAACGTCGATATCGACCTTCCGAAACCTCGAGATCTTGACACTTTGGGAGAATATCGACGTTAAAAACATCGATATCGAGGTTTCTAACGTCGATATTTCGAAATGTCTATAAAAAGATCGTACGGAAACCGAGGAGGGGTTCGACACTTTTCGATACTTTTTTATACTTTTTGGTTCTAGACATTTTGGGGGACGTATTGGAGTGGAGATTGCTACATTTCATTGTTCAAGGATTGATTCTTCATACTATAAGTCCTCTATTCCTTTTTCTATTGAAATGTTGTATGAATCCATGTCTATTTTGCTTTTCTCCATGATATGTGAGTAGTTTACTTGCTGTAGACTAGTGAATCTAGCCATGTTGCGGAATTATCAATGTGTTTAAATGGTGGAATGGATGTCTAAGTTAGATCCAGTTTCATGAATTGAACGTAATGCTTTCTTAGGATTGATCACCCTATAGAATTGAACTTGGATTAGTTATTGCAAAGGAATTTTGATAAATTAATACCGGAATTCGTTCATAAGATTCAATTATTAATTCTGAACGCATAGGTTGGACTTGATAAGGAATTCTTAATTCGACCTAGGAACTATGATAGCAGACGTTAATGCTTCTAACACAGACCTAAAGATGCGGAAGCTGGTAGAAAAGCGTTAGTTAGAGAACGAAGATCCGTGACCGGACGCATTCTAGGATAGAGGTTAGAGTTTCCTGAATCGACCTTAGACTGCAAACCAACCACATCTATTGAGATATTCCGTAGCATCGGTGAATCCCCGAACCTACAGTGTTTTTAATTATAGTTTTCTTCCAACCAACCAATTACCTTGTCATCGACCTACGCTAGAATCACAATCGATACCATCACCTCTCGATCTCTGAGTTCGACCCTAGTACTACATCGAATATGCACCCTTGCGGAATCGGCTTAGTCTAGGTATTTATTACTTGGCCACCCACTCACCTAGATTGACACGATCAAGTTTTTAGCACCGTTGTCGGGATATGAGATTCAGTCTTGGTACCGATTAGATTCTAGTTTTCAACGCCATCTATTTTCTTTCCACCACCATCAGATTTTCTTCTTTCGGGAATCGAAACTTTAATTTTTTCGGTTTATGAAATGGTCATATTTTGCTAAATTCGTGTACAAAATATCATTTTCCCTAAATTATATTACACCAAAAAAAACTGTATAAATTATAATATTTTTCAAACATATTAAAATTATAATATATAAGAATTACACTTTTTTTATTATGCGTACGAGTTTGAACACGACAAAGATCTCGTACCAACTCATTAAAAAATGAACCTAAGTATACACATACTCATTCTTACTTCTATTATTACAACCTCCTAATATTCTTGTTAACAATATTACTTCAGCATTTTAATATAATGCATTAGGATGAATGTTACAAATTTAAGTTATACACCTATTTATTTACTCGGTATAAAATATACAATTTATAAATAATTTTAAAAATAGATTTAATAACAGTAAATTATTTAATACATAAAATCAATAATCGCGGATCCTGGCCTAGTGAAAAAATAAATACTCATGATCAACCATTTCGAGAAATCGTTGTTTCATAAATGGGCTTTGCAAAATTGGGCCGAAAGGGCCCAAGAAGTAAATCCAGTGAAGCCTCTTCTTGCAACCTCTCTCTCTCTCCATGTTATTGGATCATTTCATCAAAAGTAATCTATCATAATAATAAATGAATTTCCCTCTCGAAATAGAGCCATTTAAACATGTTCCTGAGCCACCCAATCTTAGGTGAAGCGTAATTATTTGATGGATCAAATATATCATTTACGTTTATTTTAATTTGATATGTATATGTATATATATATATATTATATAAAGAGTTATAAAGAAGATTTGAGAAGATTACGTAATATTTAGATTTGGTTTTATTTCTATATTTTAGATATTTATATTTATTAAATAAGATATTTTATGATTTTGTTTTCTGCTATAAATATTGTAATGTTATATGTTGAATAATGAGAAATCCAATGATTCTCCATCTCTTTCTCTATTATGGTATCAGAGCTTCGGTTTCTGTTCTAAATATATTTTTTTTCAACGATGTTCGTTGAATCCGAAAACGACGATGAAGATGACGATGATATAATAACTCCAATAGTATCATCACCTTGAGTATCGTCTTCCATTCATTGTTTTTTTTCTATTTTTTTTTCCTGACGACGGTGTTTATCACTGTTAACCCTAGCCGATGTGCTACTCTTTTTTTTTTATGCCGACCTCATTGTCGTGCAACCCAACTCGCGCATATGCGCCGCACATCCGTGCCACATCAGCCTTTGAATCCGGCTTTTAGCCTCTTCGATTAGAATACTCCGATCGTCGATCCGCACATTTGCGCCATCTTCTTTTTTTTTCTTTTTTTTCCGGCTTTAGCCGCGTGCATTTGCACAATTTATTTTCTTTTTCCGGCATAACCGCTAAACCATCGCGCCTTTTGCGCTGCCGACATTGCTGTCGCACTACACCATAATACCGTGCATGTGCACTACGCTTCTGCTTCACCGGACTTTTTCAGATCCGCCAACAATCTACCGGTTCCTAGGTTTGATTGTCAAATCCCGTTATTTTCTGGAAAATTCAACCTCAAGCAGTTGTTTCTCATCTCCTTGAGTTTGAAGGGGCGTATAAAGAGATATAAAGAAGATTTGAGAAGATTAAGTAATATTTAGATTTGGTTTTATTTCTATATTTTAGATATTTATATTTATTAAATAAGATATTTTATGATTTTGTTTTCTACTATAAATATTATAATATTATATGTTGAATAATGAGAAATTCAAGCTTTAAAAAAAGAAAAAGAAAACTTTCGTATCAAATCGTGAATTTCTTTTTTTCATTTTTTAAAATATGTTGTCGAGGGGAAATGATGAGGCAGTGGCTGCGTGGGGGAAGAAACGAAGAAACAATTGTCAAAGAGAAAGGACACGTGCGTTGTCTGAGATTGGAACATTATTCCATTATTCAAATATCTAAATTCTATACGTAACTTTATTTATTTTTTCCTCTACGCACCAACCTTGAATGGTCAAACAATCATGGACTAGCAATAGGCAACTGCCCGCGAGCTGCTTTGACATTTCACAATTTTAATTAGTGGTATGTATTTTTCTTGACTTTTTATTAATTTTCTATCAAATGTATAAATAAAATGAAGTTTAAAAAATAAAAAAATTCGGAAATAACGGAATCAAAATTCGAAACATAGACTCGGCATGTAATAATCACTGCTTTTCTTGTCGATTTTGGATTAGAGATGTGATGATAAGATTTTGAAAAAATAAAAATTAAATTTGGTTTAGCCTGCCAAAGAAAAGCAAATAGGCGAATTTTAACTCCATAAAAAAAAATGTGTTATCCGTTCTAGAAGGATTTGAACAATATTTTCAAATAATTAGAATTTTTTTTCAAAATAGTAAAATTTTACGTACATTATTTACTTTGACACGGTAAAATCAGAACGAGTAAATTAATCACTACGTCCCACCATTACCAACCACCACTCGTTCGTATCATCCTTTGCAATAAATTACCCATTGCTTATCTTTAATCCTATACATGTATCTATATATATACACACGAAGATATATAGGCATATATATAGACGTACATATAGATGTATTATAGTGTTCTTACGTCAGGCGGGCGCTTCATAGCCTTCTTTTAACCTTTTGCAGCAGCGGGCCGCCTCTTCATTTTGACTCCACAGTCATGGAGATTTTGGGTGCATCTATATATATATATATAACAAGATCATGCGATGATATTATTTACATGAAATAATATCTTATGTTATCCGTATATATATACATCCACACTTACCATAATTTCTTCTTGTAATTTACTCCCATCGATCAAAAACAAGAAGAAGAAGAAAAAACACCATCCGCCTCTTCTCGATCTCGTTCGTCATCATGGACGGATATTATTATGATGAGAATAATTCTTCGTTTGCTCCGTTTTTATCGTTGAAATCTGAGAATTCGAGATCGATGATGGAAGAATCCAGAAGAGTTGTGGAGAAGACGACGAAGGAGGAGAAGAAGAAGAAGGCGAGGGGACAGAGATATGCTTTCCAGACAAGAAGCCAAGTGGATATACTTGATGATGGTTATAGATGGAGAAAGTACGGCCAAAAAGCCGTCAAGAACAACAAATTCCCTAGGTCAGTTTCATCTATTATTGGTGTTATATATATATATGTGTATATACACACATTGATTCATTTGATCTAGGTATTTTGGTTTTGTCTCTTTTTATCGTATCATTTCGCTTGATAATGAAAATTTTAATTTTGATTTCATTATGTCATGATACCACGTTTGATTTTGAATTTTCATGTTTAAACAATTTGGATATATAAATATAAAAAAAAAACTCAACAAAAATGAGATTATAGGAAAATAAAGAAAAATATATCGACTCGATCTTGAAAATTGTATTGTAGAAAGTAAATAAGAGAAGAAGATAAAGTTGTTTATTATTGCATTTCTTCTTCTTAAATTCATATTTATTTAATATTTAAATACATATATACACACACACGTATGTATATGTGTGTAGGAGTTACTATAGATGCACGTACAAAGGATGCAACGTGAAGAAGCAGGTACAGAGGCTAACGACGGATGAAGGAGTGGTGGTGACAACCTACGAAGGTGTCCATTCGCATCCACTCGAGAAATCCACCGACAATTTCGAGCATATTTTGAGTCAGATGCAAATCTACGCTTCTTATTAATTTGCAGCCTTGAATTAAACACGTGCGAATAAACTTAGAACCATGTCAGATCATTTTGTTTTATTTGTTTTCTGTCCGTGCTCCAATAAATTCAGATTATTTGCGTTTTTATTTTTTATTCTCTTCGTTTAATCATCATCGCGGACATAGTAAATACGATCAGATCATCATCGTCATCATCCGTTTTACATGTTAATTAATTATATATGTGAGTTATAGATGGGTTATTATAGATGTTAATATTAGAAATCTTTATTCAAAATTAAGTGACTCGGTTGATAAAGGACGAGATAAATCTCCAATTACAGAGTGATATTTACCTAAACTTATTTCTACCAACTTTTGAAAGATCTAATTAGGTATAAAAAAAACTAGTAAATTTTCATATTATCAAAAAAAATATATATATTAGAAATCTTTTTTACGCAATTGCATGTCCGTAAATACACAAAACACCACTCAATTTCATAATATCCTTAACTATAAATTTTACTATTTCTATTGTTATTATCAAAAAGTTAATTTATGATAAAAGATAGAATATAACTAAATATTTTTGGATGTGACAAAATATATAATCCTACTATATAAATATCTGATTTTTTCCGGAATATTTAGTTAAATATAATACGGATATATAGACGAATAATATGATCCTTTCATATCCCGTACATACACAGATTATGACAACAAAAAGTTGAAATCGATTTACATTTCTTAAAACACCACACAATTTCATAAAATCGTTAAACTATAAATTTTATTATTTCTATTGTTGTTGTCGTAAAAAATTTAATTTATAATAAAAGATACAATGTAATTAAATATTTTTGGATGTGACAAAATATCTAATCTTACTATATAAATATGTAATTTTTTCCAAAATTTCAATATATATATATATATATATAATTTAAAACTTATAGAATATATCAAATTGTCTTTGAGTTCTATATTAAAAATAAAATATGTAATAGATATTAATTATGTCAACTAATTCTAATATTAACTTAATTGTTCGACGAAAAATATTATCCACAGTTGACATGACAAAATAGAAATATAATCAAACTTTCACGTTAAAGGTTATATTATCTAATAGAGTGTCGCGTTTGACAGAACTCAAGAAAATAGAGGATTGAATTTTTAGAATCAATCAGATTGAACAAACAAGAGATATAAAAGAATATAAAAGAAATTTTTCATACCAGATGAATGTGTTTAGGGCTACATGAGTCTCCTTTAACAAGATGAAATGAAGACAGAAAAATAAAATAGCAATATGAAAGAAAGAAAATTACAGATCAATGATGAGAAGAAAGGGAAGTCGTATATCTGACAGTTCGATTCTAGCAGTTTCTTCTAACGACAACCTCTTCTTCTGTCATGTAACCATAGTGGGCTTTGCTCCATTGGGTTGTAAGTTGACCGGCCAATTCTCAAGTATAGCATCTTGGGCCAAATCCTCAACGTGTGTGTTGTCTCTTTTGGTTCAACATTTTCCCTCAAGATTGGTTCGAGGAGATCAACGATACCAATCTTGAAGAGTGAATTAGTGAACACCTTGACACTTGATGCTTTGGTGAAGATGTCCGCCAATTGATCATTGCTTTTTGTATGCGACGTTGCGATGATCCCTTGCGAAATCTTCTCATATACGAAATGACAGTCGACTTCAATATGCTTGGTTCTCTCGTGAAACACTGGATTTTGTGCTATGTGCATGGCAGCATGACTATCGCAGTGAAGAGTGTTTGGTTGATCTGTTGGCACGTCTAAGTCTTGAAGTAATGCCTTGAGCCACATAATCTCGCATGTTGTATTAGCCATGGCCCGATACTCAGTTTCCGCACTTGACCGTGCTACGACTTGTTGTTTCTTACTTTTCCATGTTACCAAGTTGCCTCCAAGAAAAGTGCAGTACCCCATTGTTGATTTCCGATATGTCCTATCACCGGCCCATTCTGCATCACAATATGTACCAAACCGATGTGGTTGTTTCGTTGCATCCAAACTCCTTTTTCCGGGGTTCCTTTGATGTATTTGAGGATCTGCTCGATCATTTTCCAATGATGAACCGTTGATGCATGCATCCATTGGCTTACCTGTTTCACAACAAAGCACAAATCAGGATGTGTGAGAGTAAGGTAGATTAACTTACCTACAACGCGACGGTATCGCTCAACATCCTCGTATATTTTCCCCTCGCGTTGTTCCTTGTAGTCCTCGTCCAATGGTGTCTTTATGGGCCTGGCTCCGAGCTTTCTTGTCTCATCCGCGCGGAGAACGGATGACTTCTGTCCCAAGAACGAACTTGAGTTTACCAAGATCCTTGATATCAAAGGTGTTATGTAAAAATTGTTTTGTTATAGAAATGCCATTAGTATCACTTCCTGTTAACACAATATCATCGACACAGACAAGTAGAACGATTATACCGGGGGAAGTACGTTTGATGAACAATGAGTGATCAGACTCGCTTCGGGAGAAAGAGTTGTCGATTAGAGCATTGTGAAGTTTTGAATACCATGCAAGCGGTGATTGTTTCAATCTGTATATTGATTTGTGAAGATAAAAAACTTTAGTCAGTCCAAGTGTGTCCCGATAATCCGTAAGTAGAAGCATATAAATTTTTTCATCCAGATCGCCTTGAAAAAAGGCGTTCTTTACGTCCACCACTACAAGAAAACAACAAAAGGGTGAAGCAACTTTTGTATCACCCTTTTATATTTTTGCATCACCCTTTTCAAAAGGTGATACAATAGTGACGCAATGACAAGCGTCACCAATTCAGATTTCGTCACCGAGCGTCACCAAAAGGTGACGCAATAGTGACTCAACTTTTGCATCACTAAATAGTGACGCAAATGTGTCACCTTTTGGTGACGCTAAAAGGTGAGCAATTGCGTCACTATTTAGTGACGCTAAAAGGTGACACAATTATTGCGTCACTAAAACGTATTTTGGATCCAAAAATATATTTTTTTGATCCCGAATCTAATCCTATACCCTAATCCAGATCTCTAACCTCCAACCGCGATTTTAAACCGAATCGGAAATTCTGAAATTGAATCCCCAAAATCCACTTCCAGGAGGTCACTCATCCTTCCACTACTCCAACTCAAGCACGCTTAACTTTAGAGTTTCAATTGACAAGCAACCAACTATTCCAAGTTAAACTTCTGATACATTAAAACATTAATACATATACATATACAAATATTTTATACTTACAAATATATACACGTATATGTTTGTACGTATATATACATAAAATATATATTTATATATATAACATATGTTTGTATATATAAATACATACATATATATATATAAATACACCATTATATATAAATTCGTATATATCATGATATGTATAAATATATAATATATATGTATATGTAAAATACACATTTATATATAAAATACTCATATATTTGTATATACAAATACACATATATAATAGATACATATACATAAAATATACATTATATATATCTGTATATTTATACGTACAAATACACATATATAATATACGTATATATAAAATTTATATTATACATAAATGCTTGTATATTTGTACGTATAAATACATATATATACGTATATATAAAATATATATTTATATATAAATATTTATATGTTTATACATATAAATATTTATATGTTTATACATATAAATAATAAAATACAGATATAGTGATATTATCAAAATAGTGGCGCAACTATTTGCGTCATTTTTTGTGTCACTATTGTGTCACTATTTAGTGACGCATTAGTGACGAAAATATTGTGTCACTATTTGCGTCACCATTTTAGTGACGCAAATTTTGCGTCACCTTTTCCGTGTTTTCTAGTAGTGCATCTGCCACAGATTCCAACCAAGATTAGTAGTGAGGGACAAAATAACACGAACATAGGCAATTTGGCTACCGGAGCAAACGTCTCGGTATAATCCTCTCCATATGTTTGTGTATATCCTTGTGCGACTAGTCTCACTTTGTAACGTTCAACTTCACCATTGCTTCTATACCTGACTTTGTCTTCTATACCTGACTTTGTATACGCATTTGCTCCCGATGATATTTTTGTCCGAGAATTTATCGACGATCGTCCATGTATTGTTCTTTTCTAAAGCTTGTAGTTCCTCGGACATTGCATGTTGCCAAATGGGATGATCTTTTACCTCTGAATAGGATTTTGGTTCACTGTGTGCATCCAAAAGACTAAGAAACAATGATTCATGAGGTTCCACTGTTGAAGCAGAGCAATATTTGTGAATAGGGTAAGGAGTTGAGGTACCATTTTGAAGAATGCTTAATGTTGTGTATAATCGCGAACACTAGTACACATATCTTTATTCCTCCTTTCTTGGATGTGAGCACTGCGACGAATTCCATCGTCATTGAGCATACTACCTCGGAGTTCTGTTGATCGTTCCGATAGAGGGGGGTCAAGAGAATCAGGGTTGTCGAAGGCATGGGCATTTCCGACAGCCTGCATTTCAGAAGACAGACTAGGCACATGCTCGAGGGAGAGCACATCAGCTGGACTCCGAGATTCAGGCTCCTGTTCACTAGAAAGAACATCAGTAACAAAAACAGAGGGAATATCTGTTGCGTTACCAGGATTAGAAGAGGAGGACATGGGCTCAACCTCTGATTGTGTTCGACACTGTCTCGAGGACACGGGGAATTTTTGAATAACATCAATAAGGCGTGACAAAGTGCCTTGATAATCCATCACCGAGGGATGTAAACCATCCAAATAAGCAGTTGAACGATGTTCGAAGTAGCTGCGCTCCTCGTTAAATATCACGTCATGAGAAAGAAGGACTCTATTTCGAATAGGATCGAAGCACTTATAGCCCTTTTGCTTCTTTGAATAGCCAATAAACATACACTTCGTGCTCTTTGGCTGAAGTTTATTGCGAGAATGTTCTGGAATCGTCACATAACACACACAACCAAAGACACGTAAATAATCAATCGATGCTTGTTTATTGTTTAATACCTCAAACGAATTCTGATCATGGAGAATTTTTCGTGGGAAGTCTGTTGATCAGAAAGGCTGCAATGGTGACGGCATCACTCCAAAATCGGAGAGGAACA